GGGGAGGGGAAAGGGGTAGGGGGAGCTGTGAAAAAGTAGCACTGCTGGCTGATATCTTTTCCTCGTTGTCCGACTCTATCTGTGTATCCAACAGATAAGGTCTAACACTTTATTTAAAAAAAACAACAACAACTGACAAAGAGTTGTAATTTCTTTCTTGTTATCCTTCAGAATTGCTCAAAATTTTGAGTAGAGTGGTCTCTAATGTTTTTTTCGTTATTCATTTATTGCTATTTCAAAAAACAACTTATTATTGCATCACCTATATAATCTAGTAGTTAGTATTGAGAATAACAAATTATCAGGCGGAAAAAAAGTGTTTGACCTAATCAGGAGCACACACGGTTAGGGTCGTACAACGACGTTTTGCTTTTGTATGCAAGTTGAGCGCCCTACTAGTCCCACATTTGTTAATACAGCCTATTCTTTCTAAGAAGGTGGGAAACGAGGCCCACTTAAATGGTGAGACAAAAGAAGAAGGTAGAATGAAAGCAATAAACGGTAAACTATCACTCATGTACATTTAAAAACATACACATCTGTTTTTGGGCGTTGTTCTTTATTTCGAACATTGCGCCTTTTGTCCTCCCCCCTCTCCCTTCCCCGGCTTTTCCCCAAACCAGATTTTGTTTTCTTGCGGATATATTTAATAGATTTATTACATTCAGCAACCCCCGAGACTATAATCAGATAACAGAGGCGAAAAAAATGCCAAGGACTAATGACGTGTTGAGGTACTCGTCATATATAGACACGTCACTGAGAAGATAACACGAGTTATGTCGGTATAGCCCATGACAAAGAAGACAGTGTCACAAAAATCGAGGGGAGAGAGAGGGAGAGAGAGAGAGAAGGAGGGGGGGGGAGACAGGTGGGAAGAGATAACAGCATAAAGAATTCCCTCAATGAAAACGGGACCACCACAAAGAAAGAACTAGAGATGAAAAGGTGAGAATGACGACCCTAGATACAAAGCTTCCTCTTCAGATAGCTTGTGACTTGCTCTAAACTGATAATATGTGAAATATGTTACTGTGAGAAAGAATATCTGTCTGCTCTGAACTTACACAAACCCAAATTCCGCTGCACTTTATTTAACATTCAGACCCACAGCAGACTATATCAGACTTGTACCAGATCAGATAAAATTCTAGATAAGCAAAAATGAAAGACAAAAGCAAAACAAAACAAAGAAAAAACGAACAAAGAAAAAAACAACAACAAAGAATAACAATAAAAACGTTCGGTTCCATACCCAGACAAAGTTACATACCAAAATATAGAACTGACATAGACCTGAACAAATTCATACTAAGAGCAGATGTATTAAATATAATCTCAGAAGATACCAGATATAACCCCAGACCAGATTTAGATAAAATCCAGACCCTATCCAGATAGACCAATTCCAGATGTAATCTCAGGCAAGATCCAGATAGACCAGTTCCAGAAACAATTCCCGACCAGACCAGATCTACTAGACCAAATCCAGATACAATGCAAGACAAAATCCAGATACAAACCCAAACCAGATTTAGATGCAAAACCAGATCAGATCTATACAGACCAAATCCAGATAGACCAGATTCAGATAGACTAAATCCAGATAGACCAGGTCCAGATAGACAAGACCCATACTAGAAACAGAGACAAACCCAAATCCAGGCGCAGCTTTTACCCATAATCAAATCAAACTTGAACCCAGCCCGGTCAAGACCCTGACGCTATGGAGAACTCACCCTATAACCTGATGTCTTGACGTGCACGCCACGTTTCGTAAGTGTTGACTTCATTCGTAGAGAGAATGACTTGGCCACGTTGTTGTCAGAACCGCGAACCATCATGTACCCTGGAAAACAGACCACAAGAAAATGAACCAGTCCCTTAAATGACATTTAGAATGTTGTTGTTGTTGTTGTTGTTGTTGTTGTTGTTGTTGTTGTTGTTGTTGTTG